TGAAAACAATGATTTGGGCATCACCACACACTCCCACAGGCTGTCTGTCTTAAAAAGTTTTCAGAAAATGCTGGCCCTTTAAGGGAGTCAGGTGTTTGATTTGTTTACTGCTGAGTGTGCTTCATTCTCTGTCCATCAATTCAGATGTAGAGTCTGATATGTTTTAGGCTTTAAATAAGAATCTACAATGAGTAAGTAAAATGTGTTCAAATGTTTTTGAGGGTTTCTAAAATAAGGCTGTGTTTTAAGTTATATTGTTGTTATCTTGAACTGTGTACTTGAAAGCTACATTGTTAGCTAGTTAGCCCCTCCTCGTATAACTTCTTACATTTATTGTATATTGCATACTGCCATAATGTACAGATGTTAACAGTTTTATGTATCTTTCTGGCAACTAAGCCAAAATTAAATTCCATCGCCTCAGTAAGGTAACATGTGCACAGAAATCATTACAGGGAATCACAAAAACATATGATACACTTAACCATCCACACACAAAAGCTCCACTGTCAGCTCCCAGGTTGTGAGTTTGTTGCTAAGTATTTTTCAGAGCTGTGTTTCCACCTATGAATTTATATTAGAAACAATAGAAAAAATTTTAGAAGGCAAATTTTAAAATAACAGTAAGTATATGTGACATGTTAAATATATAGTATAATTTGCTGGTTTTAAACATACAGAATAATAATAAATATAGTTATGAAACAACCATAACACCAAATGTTAAATAATGAAAGTACATTTATAACAACTATTTATTTGTTAGACTTCTGTATTGTCAAACCATGTTGCATACAAATGCATTCAACAGACTTATATGACAGTGCATTGCTGTAGAGGACAAATAAAACACGAGACAGGTGTTTAGAAAGAGTATAGTTTATTTAGTTTGACATGCAAACTTATCTAAACAAGACACACTTTCAGAAAACAGCCCGGAAACATTATAATGCGCGCGCTCGTGAATATAACCCGCGGTTGTCTTCAACTGTTGTCTTCAATAGTCCTTCTTTGCTCAACAACTGAGCTGAAAAACAAAGCAAAACATTACAACAGTCAGACATGGAGCAAAGAGCATAGAATTACCAAGAGGCGACACTCTACAATTTGGGAAACAATAACGCGCTTTTTGAATAATATAAATAAATAAAAAGCAGCTGCTTTCCATCGCGACAGCAATGACGAGCGATCGCTATCACTTGAAACTGGCGGAATCCGGGTCTGTTGCTCTTGGTCATTCTAAGCTCTTTGCTAAAGGTTTAATCATAACAGTTACCATGGTTTCTATTTCAAACTATAGTAAACTAAAGTTTGAAACTATAGTTTAAAATAGAAGATGAGTGGGCCTCGCTACTCCCACCCACCATAACCCTCGCAGCGAGGTCCCACTACCGGCCGCCCGTGTTTCCCCGAGGGTCCTCGGGGGTTATGTTCTCCCTGCCTAGGGCTCAAAGGCCGCCTCGCTGACAGAGCACACGAGCTTTATAGGAATGCATATGCAAATTTTTACAAGGCACGTCACTGTTGTCTCGCTGTCATGGCGAGCGCTGAGGAGGGCTCACCTGATTGGACCACAGAGACTCAGGAATCTGCGTCAGGGCGAGTTGCCGTCTGCTGTGGACAAAAATATATTAAATATATTTAATATATATATTTTTACGTTTTTGGTGCTGTGTAATATTCTGAGATACTTTATACGGTTCCTTTTACAGCATCCATGGTGTAAATTAAGCGTTTCCGGCGAATTGAATGCCAATGCAAAATCCGGTGCGTTTAAGGTCTGTTTTCTTTCAAAATCAGCGATCTCCACAAGCTGAGTGATATCCGATTTAAAGTGGGTCTCAGATTGTACAAGAAGCACTGCATTAAATTACATTTCCCCCGCCATATCCTTATAATATGAGCAATATATTTTACCCCAGTATATTCAATGGAGCTTCTGCGTTAGCCTGCCGATTCTGACGGGCGCGTGGGAGTAAACAGCTTTTTGTCTCGTTTTACGCTTGAGCAACTAAATAAATGCAAAAGTTTATTTAACTGAATGTATGTTAATGACATTACAACATCGATGCTGTATAAGGAACCGTATAAAATGGGAAAAAAAAGTTCACAATAACAGGTCACCGGAAGTGTATCAGCATGGAAACAGCACTAGCTCGGCATATACCCTATTTAAATAGGAACTTATATACATCTAATATATCTAGAAAACTACAGGAGTATTACATACTAAGCAACAGAATCCTGTGGTGCCACAGAAATGTTTAAGTGATACCACACACTACCACAAGAATACCGCAGGAGTATTACATACTGTACAACACAGAATCCTGTGGTAAAACATCCCAAAAAAAAACAACAAAGTACTACACAATCATCACATGGTTTTTGTTTTGTACATTTGATGGTTTACCACATGAAATACCACATGCTACCACAAAAATATTACAGGAATATAACAGTAATACCACACGCTCTACCACAAGAATATCCCAGGAATATTACATATTGTATAACAGAATCCTGTGGTAAATACTACCACAATATGAAAGTGATACACTACCACAAGAATACTACAGGAGTATCACATACTGTACAGCACAGAATCATGTGGTAAAACGTCCCAAAAAACAACAAAGTACTACACAGTTACCACATAACATTTGATGGTTTACCACATAGAATACCGCAGGTAATGTTTGTAATGGAGGGTGTCGGTCATCTTGTTGTTTCAATTGCAAATTTATTCCAGTACACAAACATTTGCACACTGAAAAGTTTTTACAATAAATATGAATACATGTCATGTTACTTTGTAAGAATAGGTATTTCTTAATTAAACGACTTAAATGCAGAACATACTGATTTTACCTTGCACTGAGAAAAAAAAATGTTTTAGAAAAAAACAGAACAAAAAAGCTAATTCTTGTGATATTGTACTGCAGAAATTGCTGTAGCAATCCTGTGATATTTAGCTGTGTTGGTATTACCACACAAAAACAACAGAGAAACCACATACTTCATCCAATGGTAAATTCCTGTGAAATTTCACTGCAGAAAGTGCTGTAGTAATCCTGTCATATTTAGCTTTGCTCATTTTTTTGTGTGGTAAATTTATGTTGTACTGCTGAAATACCACAGGATTACCACAGGACATTTTTGTAAATCCGGTCGCACACCAGAAGCGAACTTAAGTCCAACTTTTGTGCTACAGAAAAGCCCAACAGTTTGTAACGACATAAGGGCATGTGCTAGCTATAGACAATATTTTAAATGTCATCCTCTAGTATTAATTATCATAAAAATTCACATTTTCAAAAGAACTCCTCGTATTATAGTAAAACAGATAGTGAAGGGTTAACTAGTGAGTCTTTTCGTCATTTTATTTGATTTCTTTTTTATTACTACAGGTTTGGAACAACATGAGGATCAGATTATTTATTATTATTATTATTAATTTATTTTTTTTGCTTTGGATGAAGTTTTTATATTTTTATTGTTTTTATTCAATGATATGTGCATGATTGTGATAAATGTAGGCAGTTCCTTTGAAAATATGCTATGTACCAGGGATGTCAAACTCCTGGAGGGCCGCAGCCCAGCAGAATTTAGTTCCAGCCCTGCTTCAACACACTACCTTTAGATTTAGTTTGATCAGGTGTGTTTAATTAGTATAACTGCAGTGTTACCCTGTAGATTGTGCAGTAAATAACTGTAAAATAGCCAGTGTTTTGCTGTAATAAAAGGAAACAGTATTTTACTGTAAAAGGAGTAGACTTTGTATGAAATTGTGTAGTGCAAAGAATAAATTACAGTAATTTATTTTATGTACTCATTACAACTTTGACAATAAATAGCAAATTACTGTTCAACCATTACCGTCCCATCCACTCTGATGCTTTATGTTGCTAATTATAGAGACGTGCATTTTGAAGGCTGAAAACAATGATTTGGGCATCACCACACACTCCCACAGGCTGTCTGTCTTAAAAAGTTTTCAGAAAATGCTGGCCCTTTAAGGGAGTCAGGTGTTTGATTTGTTTACTGCTGAGTGTGCTTCATTCTCTGTCCATCAATTCAGATGTAGAGTCTGATATGTTTTAGGCTTTAAATAAGAATCTACAATGAGTAAGTAAAATGTGTTCAAATGTTTTTGAGGGTTTCTAAAATAAGGCTGTGTTTTAAGTTATATTGTTGTTATCTTGAACTGTGTACTTGAAAGCTACATTGTTAGCTAGTTAGCCCTTCTTACATTTATTGTATATTGCATACTGCCATAATGTACAGATGTTAACAGTTTTATGTATCTTTCTGGCAACTAAGCCAAAATTAAATTCCATCGCCTCAGTAAGGTAACATGTGCACAGAAATCATTACAGGGAATCACAAAAACATATGATACACTTAACCATCCACACACAAAAGCTCCACTGTCAGCTCCCAGGTTGTGAGTTTGTTGCTAAGTATTTTTCAGAGCTGTGTTTCCACCTATGAATTTATATTAGAAACAATAGAAAAGTTTGTTGTCATGAGATTTTTTAAGTAAATAATAATTATAACAATAAAATATTGGATTCTTTGGTTTTTCGGTGTTGCCGACTTTATTTTTTGTTTATATAATTATTTGTAACTTTTTATTGAGAATTGAGTTTTTAATTATTTTAAACTTTGACATTTAAAATAATTAGTTTTTTTTTTTTTTTTTTTTTTTTTTGCATGGTCAGCATTGAGGAGAGAGTAACACATTTCACCGCAGCACTTTGTGTGTGTGTGTGTGTGTATGTGTGTATAATACCTATACCTGCTGCAGTCAACCTAAAACCTACAGTAGGTTGACATAAAACCAAAACAACACCCATTCTTGTCTTAGGACATTTTATTTGGCAAATTTTAAAATAACAGTAAGTATATGTGACATGTTAAATATATAGTATAATTTGCTGGTTTTAAACATACAGAATAATAATAAATATAGTTATGAAACAACCATAACTGTAGGAAAGTCCTATACAGGGTTGCAGTTCTTATGAGTATACCCTAGATGGCGCACCTCTCTAATTTGACCGACATTCACTACTTTCGCTTTCAAGAGCAAGCACATGGCAAAAATCACTTGTGAGGCACGGTGAGAAGGCAAACATCTATCCTGTGTGCGTTCATGCCAAGAAAGTAAGTTTATTTACTGATTCCCACCAAAAATATGGGTAATACTTATGTTAATACTGTTGTAACAATATCTGTAATGTTGTATTTCACCTTTAATGCATATATTTGCATAATCTTATGTTATATGTTAATCTGTGTTGGGAAGCTAATATGCTAGTCCAAACTATTTATGCCATAGTATGTTTCCTTGTTGGATTAATGTTTATATTTTGACACATGGTGTAATGTTGAGTCATTTCTAAACACTACAGTTTGACAGTGAATTTATTCCTATACCTAAAGATTATTTTCTGTTGTAATCTAAATGGAAATGTTTGACTGTTATTTGTTAATTGCTAAACCTGTAATATTTTATTGATACTTAATTTGTTCTATTTTATGTTCCAGACCACACACACACACACGTACTCACACCAGATGTGTTTTCCTCACATCCCCTCTGTACCTATAACAACAACGGTAATCTGTACCATTATACCGACTCATTAAAGCTATTTTTGGATGAAACTCTCCGAGCCCTTTACTCTCTTACCAGAGTCTCCAGTTTTCAAGGACTATCAGAACATTCCAGAGGTTCCACCTCAACAAATGGTCCTTCGAGCCGGATGATAGTAACCTTGAAGACAACATGCAATCCGAGCAGGAGGTCACACCAACCATTGTGCAACCTCGTACTCAGCGGGAGAGACATCCACCAGCCTACTTGGGTGATTATGATGTTGGATATCAACCAAGCCAGATTCCAGCTTCCAGTGCAGGGGACCGTAATACAATGCCAGCAGCTGCCATTGCATCTGCACATCCAGATGAAGCGCATGTGCCTTGCCGATCATTATCAGCACATTCATCTGCAAAGTCACGTCAAAGCCGATCCAGGACAAAGACCACCAGAAGCAGTGTATCCAGCCGTTCGACAGCTTCGCAACTGACAGAGCTACAGGCAGCTATTGTAGAGGAAAAGCTGAAAAGTATGGAGCTAGCAGAGATGCAGAGGCAGATGGTGGAGGAGAGCAAAGCTGAGGAGCAGTGTGAGTTCCTGGATCAACAAGCACGCTTAGCATTATATGAGAGAGAAGAATTACTCAGAGAGCAGCAGAGGAGAAGTCATCAGTTAGATGAAGAGGCTCGTGCAGCACACAAGACCAAAGAACTGATCACCAAACAGCTTGAAAGACAGCGTCGTATTAAGCAGAAAGAGATGGAGCTGGAGAAAGCGCGTCTTGTTGCTTCACTTCTCCGAGAATCAGAGTCTGAGAATGCAACTGCTATTTCACAAACTGAAGGTGAACTTGACCCAGAGCAGGTACAGACTGATACACTCCGTTTACCAAAGGTAGAGGTTGCTCACCATACACTACGACAGTTCCCTGATAGTACACAGCACTCTACACCACACACATATCAGAGTAAACCTGTTACTGCTCAGCCATTAGTTCCACATTCAGTACATGAGCACATTACCTCTCATGCTACATCCAAATCATTATATGTAGAACCAATGAATGTTGTTCCTTCTCCTATCTGTTCTGTTGCAGCACCAGGTGTGTTTCCCTCACAGGTAAAATTACATGTTGCAGATGTTTGCCCTCCTTTAACCGTACAACCATCTTTGTCCTATGAGAGACAAACATATAGTCAGTTAGGCTCTAACCTTCTATGCCCAGGTGCATCATATGTATCTCCGGATTCAACAGCGACCAGCTATGCTCAGCCACCTCACCAGTCAATTTCAGTACCGTCTCAGCCCACAATTAATCAGTCACAAAATCCTGTTAGGCAACAGCAGTTAAGCTCACAGCCATTACCCAGGCTAAATGTTCCCAGTGTACAGCCACCAGCCCCAGCCAATGTTATGGATATGCTAATTGCTAATTCATATGGTATACCTAAACCAGCTCTGCCTACATTTGAGAGTGGTAGGGAGTCAGACTTTGCCCTACTAAAAATGGCATTAGATAGTCTCATAGGCTGCCACGCTCATCTCACAGAGCAGTTTAAGTACCAGGTACTTCTAGACAGAATAAGACTACCCAGTGCATACAAATTAGCACAAGCCTATATGCATGATCCTACACCGTACACTACTGCATTGCAAGCCCTCCAAGACAAATATGGGCAACCTCGTCAACTTGTACAGAGTGAACTTGGGTCCATTTTGAACTCTCCACCAGTTAGAGTAGGGGATGCCGAAGCCTTTGATAATTTCGCTCTTGCAGTACATGCACTTGTAGGTATGCTTCGTTCTTTAGAAGGGGAGAATGGGTACGAACTGAAGTGTGGCTCACATGTGGACAGACTTTTAGTCAAATTGCCGGCTACCTACCGAGATGGATTTGTTGAACATTGTCTCAGTCGTGGTATACTCGTCACAGGGACAGATAAAACATACACTCTTCACGACTTAGCAGCATGGCTTCAGCTAAAATCACAGGCGAAGCGCATCTCAAGTAGAGCTGTTGACATGTTTCAAGAACAGATAAAGCCTCAAAGGAAAGGGAAGAGTAGCCATACATCATCATCTTCTGTGTACTACAACATTAGTAGCAGTCATGATAAAATGCCCCTTACCACTCTGCCATGTCGTACCTTTCCACAAAAGCCCAGGGACAAACCAAAAGCTTACTGTCCATACTGTAATACCCGTGAGCATTATCTCAGTATGTGTTCCAAATTTAAGTCACTGACGACTACCCAGATCACAGAATGGATCAGAGACAAAGGTTGTTTCCGCTGTGGACGCAATCACAAACCTGAGGCTTGCACCCTCAAAAAGCCCTGTAATATATGTCAAAACCAGCATCTTACTGTACTACATGATGTAAACATGCAGGAGCCCAACAAGGTCCTTATGGTCAGTACCTCAGCAGACACCATTTATCTTGACCGTCCCAATCGTCCTCAACAGGTCATGTTAAAGGTGGTCAAAGTACTCCTACATAATGCCAGACACTCACTAGAGGCTTATGCTTTGCTAGATGATGGTTCCGAGCGGACAATTCTCCTCTCCTCTGCTACACAATACCTCCAGCTGCATAAAAACCCTGAAACGCTCTCATTGAGAACTGTCCGACATGAGGTTGTTCACCTGAAGGGGTCATCTGTTTCATTTGAAATTTCACCCGCTGACAATCCTAGACAAAAATACAAGATCCATCATGCCTTTACGGCTGATGAATTGGGTTTCTCAGAGCATACTTACCCAGTGAAAGTACTGATGAAAAAGTACAAGCATTTGCGAGGGTTACCAATACCAGAAATTGATCATGTGCGGCCTGTACTACTAATCGGTTCCGACTTTCCACATTTGCTCATTCCCACTCAGCCTGTGCATATTGGCCCAGCTGGTGGACCTGTAGCAATCTGCACCCCGCTTGGTTGGACACTCCAAGGTCCTGCCAGCCTGATGCATGTTCCTAGTGATGAGCAGCGGTGTCTCTTCACTGCAGTGGGACCTACCCACTTAGATCTACAGAGACATGTGGAGAAATTGTGGCAGATCGACACTTTACCTTATATCAGTGAGAAAGCAGCCACTCGATCCAAGCTCGATCAACAAGCACTTGAATTGCTCGAGCAGCAAACTGTAAGGGTGAATGTAAATGGCACAATGAGATATGCTACACCACTTCTCAGGCGGAAAGACAGTCCTTGTCTAAAAGCACCCAAATCGGTTTGTCTTTCACTACTTCGAAGTACAGAACGGAGAATCATTAATGACCCCAATCAAACCCTGACATATTGCGAGGAGATTCAGAAACTTGAAAATGCAGGTTATGTAAAGAGGCTGACAAATGAAGAAGTTGAATCCTCTGCTGAATCATGGTATCTACCACATCACTTAGTCCACCACAATAACAAAGCCAGGCTTGTTTTCAATTGTTCATACCAGTACAGAGGACTTGCGCTTAACGAACATCTTCTTCCTGGGCCAATCCTGGGTCCTTCACTTCTTGGAGTCCTACTTCGGTTTCGTGAGCACACAGTGGCAATCAGTGGGGACATTAAAGCAATGTTCCATCAGATCAGACTTTTGCCAGAAGATCGCTCACTGTTACGTTTCCTTTGGAGGGACATGAAGAAGAACGAAGAGCCAAATGTCTTTGAATGGCAAGTCCTCCCATTTGGAACAACCTGCAGTCCCTGCTGTGCCACATATGCGCTACAACGACATGTGAAAGACAACTGTGTAGGGTATGAGGATGTTCAAATGTCTGTCGAACAAGCATTCTATGTAGATAACTGTTTGCAGAGTCTTAACTGCCCAGAGAAAGCTCGCAGCCTAATTGACCGAATGCGTAGCCATCTGTCGTCAGGGGGGTTTGAAATCCGCCAGTGGGCCAGCAACATACCCCAAGTAATAGAACACCTCCCAATAGAAGCCAGAGCAGCTAGCACTGAACTGTGGGTTTCTGAGCATAGTTCAGATCCACAAGAGCCAGCTTTGGGTCTCCGCTGGAACTGTCTCACTGACCATCTTGGATACCAACACCGTCAAGTTCATTATTCTGAACCCACACTCCGAAATGTTTACAAGGTACTGGCTACGCAGTATGACCCACTTGGATATCTAATACCTTTCACTACGAAAGCAAAGATATTAATTCAGGATCTTTGGAACCTAAAAGTTGGTTGGGATGATGTTATCCACCCAGAAAGCCTGCGAATACAGTGGCGCCAATGGGAGGCTGAACTGGCTAATTTGCACACCGTTGAAATACCCCGAGCATACATACCACCATGTGCAGACACAGAAGGCATGCAGAGAACCATACATATCTTCTGCGATGCCTCTGAACGCGCGTACGGGTCAGTCGCTTACCTCTGTACTTTAGATCAGCATAACCAGACACATGTTGCTTTTGTGATGGCAAGATCCAGGGTGGCTCCACGCAAACAGATATCAATGCCACGCTTGGAGCTTTGTGGAGCTCTCACAGGAGCGCAGCTAGCAAAGTTACTCAGTAAAGAGTTGTCTATTCCTGCCAGAGATGTTGTCCTGTGGACTGATTCGACAACGGTCCTGAGTTGGTTAAAATCCGACTCCTGCCGCTATAAAGTCTTTGTCGGAACCCGCATAGCGGAAATTCAGGATTTGGCATTGGAGTCTTGTTGGCGATATGTTAACACTGCAGACAACCCAGCGGATGATTTGACCAGGGGGAAGACTTTGGTAGAGTTAACCAAATCCCAGCGCTGGAGTCAAGGACCACAGTTCATTCACCAGCATCCAGACACCTGGCCATCCCTGCCTGAATTAGCTGCTCCTGATGATCATGATGAGCTAAGAAAACAAACATTCTGTGGCAATACAATCATCACTACGCCTCAACCTGCCATCTCCAATTGTAAAAATTGGAGTGAACTGTTGAAGTTTACTTACCAGTCCCTTCACGGGGCGGCTGATTCCATGACTGCAGCAGATGCCATTGAGGTTGAGTTACATATACTAAGGCAAGCTCAGAGTGACAGCTTCCCAGAAGAGGTGGGTGCACTGACAAAAGGTAAACCCATATCCACGCAGAGCCGTCTGGCTGCACTAGCCCCCGTGTATGATCAAACAGTTGGTCTTATCCGAGTAGGCGGACGGCTTCGCAGAGCTGAGTGCCTAGTTCCAGACACCATACATCCCATAATACTGGACCCTAAACATCCAATTACCATGCTCCTAATCAAGAAATATGACAACCAGCTTCTCCATCCAGGTCCAGAACGGGTCTTAGGTGAGATCAGACGCAAATACTGGATCCTTCGTGGCAGGGAATCCATTAAGAGACACCAGTACAACTGTGAAACATGCCAAAAATGGAGAGCAAAGCCTGTAATACCAAAGATGGCAGACTTGCCTCCATCACGTTTAAGACTATATAAACCCCCTTTCTGGTCAACAGGCGTTGATTGTTTTGGCCCATTCACCATTAAAATAGGACGACGCACTGAGAAACGCTGGGGCATCATATTCAAATGCATGACGACAAGTTGTATACATCTTGATCTCTTAGAGAGCATGGACACAGATGCCTTTCTGATGGCTTTACGAAGATTTGTATCACGTCGGGGAAAGCCATTTGAGATACTGGCGGATAGGGGGACAAATTTCAGGGGAGGAGCCACTGAATTGCAAGAAGCTTTTACAGCGTTAGAAGCTTCACTTAAAGAACAGTTAGCTGGTCAGGAAATTACATTTCAGTTTAATCCGCCACATGCCCCGCATTTTGGTGGTACCTGGGAGCGAGAGATACGGTCTGTCAAAACAGCTCTTCAGGTAGTCCTAGGCAATCGAACTGTGACTGAGTCCGTTTTACGTACAGTGCTGGTAGAGGTTGAGGGAATCATCAACTCCAAGCCACTCGGGTATGTTTCCTCGGATGTAGCTGATCCAGACCCAGTCACACCCAATCTATTGCTGATGGGCCGTCGCGATGCATCACTCCCACAAGCGATCTACTCCTCTAGTGATCTGTTAGGTAGAAGGAGGTGGCGACATAGTCAAATTTTGGCTGATCATTTTTGGGTAAACTTTGTACGGCATTACTTACCAGGCCTACAGACACGCCAAAAATGGCAAAGGGACACCGGCAATTTAACTATTGGACAGATCGTCATGATAGTTGATCCACAGTTGCCACGAGCTTCATGGCCTATTGGTAAAGTGATTAAGACATATGCAGGTGTAGATCATTGCGTACGTACTGCAGAAGTGCAAGTAAAAGAGCGAACTTATCTTCGGCCTGTCGCCCGGTTAGTTAAGTTACCATCATGGGAAGATGAGGAAGGAAACAATTAGCCTTGAGACTTTCCCTAGACTAATTACAAATTTATCTAGTAAATTTGGGGGCGGCTTTGTAGGAAAGTCCTATACAGGGTTGCAGTTCTTATGAGTATACCCTAGATGGCGCACCTCTCTAATTTGACCGACATTCACTACTTTCGCTTTCAAGAGCAAGCACATGGCAAAAATCACTTGTGAGGCACGGTGAGAAGGCAAACATCTATCCTGTGTGCGTTCATGCCAAGAAAGTAAGTTTATTTACTGATTCCCACCAAAAATATGGGTAATACTTATGTTAATACTGTTGTAACAATATCTGTAATGTTGTATTTCACCTTTAATGCATATATTTGCATAATCTTATGTTATATGTTAATCTGTGTTGGGAAGCTAATATGCTAGTCCAAACTATTTATGCCATAGTATGTTTCCTTGTTGGATTAATGTTTATATTTTGACACATGGTGTAATGTTGAGTCATTTCTAAACACTACAGTTTGACAGTGAATTTATTCCTATACCTAAAGATTATTTTCTGTTGTAATCTAAATGGAAATGTTTGACTGTTATTTGTTAATTGCTAAACCTGTAATATTTTATTGATACTTAATTTGTTCTATTTTATGTTCCAGACCACACACACACACACGTACTCACACCAGATGTGTTTTCCTCACATCCCCTCTGTACCTATAACAACAACGGTAATCTGTACCATTATACCGACTCATTAAAGCTATTTTTGGATGAAACTCTCCGAGCCCTTTACTCTCTTACCAGAGTCTCCAGTTTTCAAGGACTATCAGAACATTCCAGAGGTTCCACCTCAACAATAACACCAAATGTTGACTAATGAAAGTACATTTATAACAACTATTTATTTGTTAGACTTCTGTATTGTCAAACCATGTTGCATACAAATGCATTCAACAGACTTATATGACAGTGCATTGCTGTAGAGGACAAATAAAACACGAGACAGGTGTTTAGAAAGAGTATAGTTTATTTAGTTTGACATGCAAACTTATCTAAACAAGACACACTTTCAGAAAACAGCCCGGAAACATTATAATGCGCGCGCTCGTGAATATAACCCGCGGTTGTCTTCAACTGTTGTCTTCAATAGTCCTTATTTGCTCAACAACTGAGCTGAAAAACAAAGCAAAACATTACAACAGTCAGACATGGAGCAAAGAGCATAGAATTACCAAGAGGCGACACTCTACAATTTGGGAAACAATAACGCGCTTTTTGAATAATATAAATAAATAAAAAGCAGCTGCTTTCCATCGCGACAGCAATGACGAGCGATCGCTATCACTTGAAACTGGCGGAATCCGGGTCTGTTGCTCTTGGTCATTCTAAGCTCTTTGCTAAAGGTTTAATCATAACAGTTACCATGGTTTCTATTTCAAACTACAGTAAACTAAAGTTTGAAACTATAGTTTAAAATAGAAGATGAGTGGGCCTCGCTACTCCCACCCACCATAACCCTCGCAGCGAGGTCCCACTACCGGCCGCCCGTGTTTCCCCGAGGGTCCTCGGAGGTTGTGTTCTCCCTGCCTAGGGCTCAAAGGCCGCCTCGCTGACAGAGCACACGAGCTTTATAGGAATGCATATGCAAATTTTTACAAGGCACGTCACTGTTGTCTCGCTGTCATGGCGAGCGCTGAGGAGGGCTCACCTGATTGGACCACAGAGACTCAGGAATCTGCGTCAGGGCGAGTTGCCGTCTGCTGTGGACAAAAATATATTAAATATATTTAATATATATTTTTACATTTTTGGTGCTGTGTAATATTCTGAGATACTTTATACGGTTCCTTTTACAGCATCCATGGTGTAAATTAAGCGTTTCCGGCGAATTGAATGCCAATGCAAAATCCGATGCGTTTAAGGTCTGTTTTCTTTCAAAATCAGCGATCTCCACAAGCTGAGTGATATCCGATTTAAAGTGGGTCTCAGATTGTACAAGAAGCACTGCATTAAATTACATTTCCCCCGCCATATCCTTATAATATGAGCAATATATTTTACCCCAGTATATTCAATGGAGCTTCTGCGTTAGCCTGCCGATTCTGACGGGCGCGTGCGAGTAAACAGCTTTTTGTCTCGTTTTACGCTTGAGCAACTAAATAAATGCAAAAGTTTATTTAACTGAATGTATGTTAATGACATTACAACATCGATGCTGTATAAGGAACCGTATAAAATGGAAAAAAAAAGTTCACAATAACAGGTCACCGGAAGTGTATCAGCATGGAAACAGCACTAGCTCGGCATATACCCTATTTAAATAGGAACTTATATACATCTAATATATCTAGAAAACTACAGGAGTATTACATACTAAGCAACAGAATCCTGTGGTGCCACAGAAATGTTTAAGTGATACCACACACTACCACAAGAATACCGCAGGAGTATTACATACTGTACAACACAGAATCCTGTGGTAAAACATCCCAAAAAAAACAACAAAGTACTACACAATCATCACATGGTTTTTGTTTTGTACATTTGATGGTTTACCACATGAAATACCACATGCTACCACAAAAATATTACAGGAATATAACAGTAATACCACACGCTCTACCACAAGAATATCCCAGGAATATTACATATTGTATAACAGAATCCTGTGGTAAATACTACCACAATATGAAAGTGATACACTACCACAAGAATACTACAGGAGTATCACATACTGTACAGCACAGAATCATGTGGTAAAACGTCCCAAAAAACAACAAAGTACTACACAGTTACCACATAACATTTGATGGTTTACCACATAGAATACCGCAGGTAATGTTTGTAATGGAGGGTGTCGGTCATCTTGTTGTTTCAATTGCAAATTTATTCCAGTACACAAACATTTGCACACTGAAAAGTTTTTACAATAAATATGAATACATGTCATGTTACTTTGTAAGAATAGGTATTTCTTAATTAAACGACTTAAATGCAGAACATACTGATTTTACCTTGCACTGAGAAAAAAAAAATGTTTTAGAAAAAAACAGAACAAAAAAGCTAATTCTTGTGATATTGTACTGCAGAAATTGCTGTAGCAATCCTGTGATATTTAGCTGTGTTGGTATTACCACACAAAAACAACAGAGAAACCACATACTTCATCCAATGGTAAATTCCTGTGAAATTTCACTGCAGAAAGTGCTGTAGTAATCCTGTCATATTTAGCTTTGCTCATTTTTTTGTGTGGTAAATTTATGTTGTACTGCTGAAATACCACAGGATTACCACAGGACATTTTTGTAAATCCGGTCGCACACCAGAAGCGAACTTAAGTCCAACTTTTGTGCTACAGAAAAGCCCAACAGTTTGTAACGACATAAGGGCATGTGCTAGCTATAGACAATATTTTAAATGTCATCCTCTAGTATTAATTATCATAAAAATTCACATTTTCAAAAGAACTCCTCGTATTATAGTAAAACAGATAGTGAAGGGTTAACTAGTGAGTCTTTTCGTCATTTTATTTGATTTCTTTTTTATTACTACAGGTTTGGAACAACATGAGGATCAGATTATTTATTATTATTATTATTAATTTATTTTTTTTGCTTTGGATGAAGTTTTTATATTTTTATTGTTTTTATTCAATGATATGTGCATGATTGTGATAAATGTAGGCAGTTCCTTTGAAAATATGCTATGTACCAGGGATGTCAAACTCCTGGAGGGCCGCAGCCCAGCAGAATTTAGTTCCAGCCCTGCTTCAACACACTACCTTTAGATTTAGTTTGATCAGGTGTGTTTAATTAGTATAACTGCAGTGTTACCCTGTAGATTGTGCAGTAAATAACTGTAAAATAGCCAGTGTTTTGCTGTAATAAAAGGAAACAGTATTTTACTGTAAAAGGAGTAGACTTTGTATGAAATTGTGTAGTGCAAAGAATAAATTACAGTAATTTATTTTATGTACTCATTACAACTTTGACAATAAATAGCAAATTACTGTTCAACCATTACCGTCCCATCCACTCTGATGCTTTATGTTGCTAATTATAGAGACGTGCATTTTGAAGGCTGAAAACAATGATTTGGGCATCACCACACACTCCCACAGGCTGTCTGTCTTAAAAAGTTTTCAGAAAATGCTGGCCCTTTAAGGGAGTCAGGTGTTTGATTTGTTTACTGCTGAGTGTGCTTCATTCTCTGTCCATCAATTCAGATGTAGAGTCTGATATGTTTTAGGCTTTAAATAAGAATCTACAATGAGTAAGTAAAATGTGTTCAAATGTTTTTGAGGGTTTCTAAAATAAGGCTGTGTTTTAAGTTATATTGTTGTTATCTTGAACTGTGTACTTGAAAGCTACATTGTTAGCTAGTTAGCCCTTCTTACATTTATTGTATATTGCATACTGCCATAATGTACAGATGTTAACAGTTTTATGTATCTTTCTGGCAACTAAGCCAAAATTAAATTCCATCGCCTCAGTAAGGTAACATGTGCACAGAAATCATTACAGGGAATCACAAAAACATATGATACACTTAACCATCCACACACAAAAGCTCCACTGTCAGCTCCCAGGTTGTGAGTTTGTTGCTAAGTATTTTTCAGAGCTGTGTTTCCACCTATGAATTTATATTAGAAACAATAGAAAAGTTTGTTGTCATGAGATTTTTTAAGTAAATAATAATTATAACAATAAAATATTGGATTCTTTGGTTTTTCGGTGTTGCCGACTTTATTTTTTGTTTATATAATTATTTGTAACTTTTTATTGAGAATTGAGTTTTTAATTATTTTAAACTTTGACATTTAAAATAATTAGTTTTTTTTTTTTTTTTTTGCATGGTCAGCATTGAGGAGAGAGTAACACATTTCACCGCAGCACTTTGTGTGTGTGTGTGTATAATACCTATACCTGCTGCAGTCAACCTAAAACCTACAGTAGGTTGACATAAAACCAAAACAACACCCATACTTGTCTTAGGACATTTTATTTGGCAAATTTTAAAATAACAGTAAGTATATGTGACATGTTAAATATATAGTATAATTTGCTGGTTTTAAACATACAGAATAATAATAAATATAGTTATGAAACAACCATAACATCAAATGTTGACTAATGAAAGTACATTTATAACAACTATTTATTTGTTAGACTTCTGTATTGTCAAACCATGTTGCATACAAATGCATTCAACAGACTTATATGACAGTGCATTGCTGTAGAGGACAAATAAAACACGAGACAGGTGTTTAGAAAGAGTATAGTTTATTTAGTTTGACATGCAAACTTATCTAAACAAGACACACTTTCAGAAAACAGCCCGGAAACATTATAATGCGCGCGCTCGTGAATATAACCCGCGGTTGTCTTCAACTGTTGTCTTCAATAGTCCTTCTTTGCTCAACAACTGAGCTGAAAAACAAAGCAAAACATTACAACAGTCAGACATGGAGCAAAGAGCATAGAATTACCAAGAGGCGACACTCTACAATTTGGGAAACAATAACGCGCTTTTTGAATAATATAAATAAATAAAAAGCAGCTGCTTTCCATCGCGACAGCAATGAAGAGCGATCGCTATCACTTGAAACTGGCGGAATCCGGGTCTGTTGCTCTTGGTCATTCTAAGCTCTTTGCTAAAGGTTTAATCATAACAGTTACCATGGTTTCTATTTCAAACTATAGTAAACTAAAGTTTGAAACTATAGTTTAAAATAGAAGATGAGTGGGCCTCGCTACTCCCACCCACCATAACCCTC